TTTTAATAGACAGTATAAAGAAAGGAAAAACCCATTTGTACAGTCATTAGAGGGGTGTAAATTTACATCCCTCACACCGCTAAATTTACATCTCTCTAATGATTGTACACATAGCATTGTCCAGAAAGAAATTAGAACAAGTTGGTCCAATCATGTAAATAAAAAAAAATATTTATGAAATACACGGGAAAATTGCATCCATGATCTTCATTTTATACTTAAATCGTGAGTTTTTGGTTTTTCATTTGGGTTTTCGTCCAATTTAGTCATTAAATTATGACGTATTTGGCGTTGATAAAGATTTCGTTAAAAGGAGAACAAAAAATATATATATTTTGAATAGTGGATTTTTGGAGATGTGTGGTTAAAAAGAAGGAAAATTTTTTGAGTTTACGTGTAGAATATTTTATTATGTAAACGCGTGGTTGAAAATGAGTATGTAAAAAAGAGTTTCGAAAAAATGTGAGAGAGACCAGTAACAAAAGAAGAACCTCAAACTGTAATCCAATATTCTAAGACTCCGAAGTAATTGTTCACAAATAGGCATGGTAGAGATCAAGGTCTATTATTTGAAATTCCAGATGTTTTTCAATTATTCTAATGTCTCCACGTGTATTTCTCTTGATTTGCAACCCTGTAATAAATAGTAACAAATTGCGTTAAACAATTCTTGAAATCCAACAAGGAGAACCTTCAGTCGAACCGCATGGCTGTGAATAATAATAGAATATTTCTATTCGGCACCAATAGTGCTACAATTCCGGTTCATATAACATTATATGATAAGTTCAATGAAATGTAAAATTAACCGACTCATTTAGGCTTTGTCTGGTGGTGATTCTGAAAATTAGAAATTGATTTTTGTAACGTTGGCCTTTGACACATGTGACACAAGAGCTCGCAACTTTCTTTCAAATTGTTACCGTTGGCTGGTGCAACGGTCAAAAAAAGAGTTTTAATCCAGCTTTTAAGCCCTCCCAAACAGGCACTTAATTGTACCTTTCATTTACGTGCCATTTAGTGTCATTTAAAT